GGGCAGGACGGCGCGGGAAGAGGCCACTCGGTACCGCGCGGTATTGTTTCCAAAATACGCCCGCTCGGGGCATCCCGCAAACAGCTGATGAGGCCCCGCCCCCCGCGCGTCACGCCTACCTTGACCAATGGCGAGTAGCGCACCAAGTCCCGGGCTGGGCGGCTGCCAGGGATAGTCACAAATGTACGAAACTTCCCTAGTAAACATTGCAAGGGGCCGAGCAAAATTCCTACTCCCGCCAGAAACGCATTTGGAGCGCGGTCGCCGGCGCAGATTCCGTTCCTAACGCTGGCTCTGGAAGCGCAGGAGAGTCCCTGAGTTCTCACGATTAAAAGGGAGAAAGGGGGCGCCAAAGTGATTTCTGTCTTCTCTTTCTCGGGAATGGGTTGGGTAATTACGACTCGTCCTGAAAAGGGGAGAAAGGGGCGGGTAAAGGAGGCGGAAGCTTTTAGAGGCTCCAGAGGAATCCAGTGGGTGCAGAGTGAAGGTCCTGGTGGATCCGGGTCTGGTGGCAAACACCCTCCACCCGCACGTGTGGCGGGCGGTTCTTAAGAAAACTCCAGCCCAAAGCTGTAGGCGGCAAAAGAACACGTGTGCCTGGTATGGTATGCCCGGCGCTGGTGACATCCTGATCAAACACATCCAAATGTCCTCTTAACTAGGCATGGACACTCAGAAAATAAGTGAGATGGGGAGATTTTTTTTTTTTTAATGCGTGGACTGCTTGAGCAGTTGTCACATCCTGTTTATGGTACCATCCAGATAAGGTTCTGCAGATGGTGCTACTGGAAATGGCATATAGGCTATTTTATAAACATTTCTTGTGCACCTACCTACATGGCGCTAGGTAATGAGCTAGGTCAAAAACCTGTTGCCGGCCCTCTGGGAGTTTAGAGTCTACTTGGAGAGAGGTAGACCTGAAAGTAATAGAAAGCAGCGTGAAATGTATTGTCTAAAGGAATAATGACTAACCGGGAGATGCAGAAAAATTCAAAATGCAAAGACTGGGGAATGCTCAAGAATGGGGAGATTTTCCCATAGGGAAAAACAGTGCAGAATAAAGTGTTGAACTGGAGAACCTGTCCTGAGAGCAGGAGCAGACTAGAAAACGGAATCATTTAGTGTGCACTGGGATTTAGGAAGGATGGGTATGGACAGATATTTTCAAATGAGATTGCAGAGCTATCTCTGATTTAAATGCAGGCAGGGGAATCTCTATTTTATTCTGGAGGCAAAGGGGAGTGAGCAAAAATTTTACAGAACAGGAGATACTTGAGCAAGCCTGAGTTTTAGAAACAATAAACTAAGAAACCAAAAACCAGTGAAAAGGAGCCAGTGTCTACAAAAGATTAAGTGAGCAACAATAGAAGCTGACCTACCGAGGGCAGTGGAGATTGGTTGTGCTCTGACCATCAAGCTCCTCTGTGAGAATTCAGACAGATGGCCTGGGAGCCTTGTATTTTCCCCTACACACTCTTCCCCTAGCTCCAGTATAGGGCATCTGAAAAACAGTAATCAGGCTGTTGAGATCTGCAGTCACCAGCACAGGAAAAGCACTGTCCTCAAAGAAGGGATAAGAAGGAAAGGGGAAAGGGGGACAGTCATCTTGGGTAGCAACCCTGTCTTCCCCCACCCTCATCAGAAATTGACAGAAGACCAGAAAGAGATGCTAAAGCCAAAAGGAGGTACATTATAGGGCCAGGAGTCTTGGCCAAGAGGGGGTGTCAGAGCTGGTGGTGGTGCCCTTGCACCCCTGCTATGTGTGAGAGATGAGGAGACCAAGCCCAGTGTCTGTGAGAGGCACTGGGGGAGCCCTCCATTGTTCACCATGCACAGACCTCCCTTCCCTCTTTCCTTCCATCCTCCTCATTGGCTTTCCCCCTGGGCCAACATCTCAGGCTAGCCAGTGGTGCCCACCGGCATTACTTTGAGTCAAGAGTGGAAATAAAAGGGCCTCCCTGATGGTGCAGGGCCGAAGTGTCAGTACTATGAAGCTATCTGCAGCCACTGGAGCACGAGTTCCATCCCTAGCCAGGGAAATAATCCACATAGCACAACAGGCTTCTTCTGTCTTTCCTACTGTTTCTCCCTTTTGCAGTGTAGTTCAGTCAACCTGCCTGTTCTGCTCCTCACTCTGTCTCCAGTGAATCCTCTCATCCCAACACCTCTGGCCTACACCCCAGCTCTTATATGCATAAACAAATAAACAAAATTTTTTTTAAAGACTGGAACTAAAGGACAAAGCAGCTCTGAATCTGTTCTCTGGGGCAGTACAGGTCCCAGGGTGCAGGAGCCATCTTGTGTCTCACTCAACCTACAAAAACCCGTCTGATTCATCACAGGCCTACAAAAGGTGGAATTGGGTCCGCAAGCAAGAAGCTGGTAGAGCAGCATTTTTACCTGGGACCTGTGCACTTACCTGGCTCATCATATCTCTTAGCCCTAATATTGGACAATTGTGGGTTCACAGAAACATTTGGGGGCTATATAACTTACAACAGTTTACCAAAGGGGTCTGTGACCCTATTTTAAAAAAAACCATCCTTTGCAGGAATGGGGCTGGGGTACAAAGAGAACCATTTTAGTGGTTATAGGCAGTTTGCAAGATGGGGGGAGAGTTACACCCTCTAGTGAATTCCTTCTAGGACCTCTCCCCCAGGCTTTTCTGCCAGGCTTGTTCTTCAGGACACCCGGTGGCTGGGCCTCTAGTGCTTTCAGCCTCTAAGGTCAAGCAGCAGGGATCCAGCATTCTCAGCTGGTGGGGCCAGAAAAGACTGTCAGGGATAAAGGGGTCAGGGAGGTCAGGAGCCTCATTGCCCACCTCTCATCACTGTCAAAGCAGACCCCTCCCTCTGGGTCCTTTTTCCTTTTTTTTTTTTTTTGTGAGTGTGTGTGTGTGGGTGGGTGGGGTGTGCAGACTACAGTGTCAGGACCTGCTGGGCTAGAGATCCCTAACCCCCCTGACCAATGGCAGCACTCTCTAACAGATGAACCTGGACTTTTGACTGGGCTCAGAGCAAATGCACATTGCAACTCTTATTTTGGAAAATTTTCTTTCACTTCCTATACTTGCTCCAGTTCGTTTTCTCCTCTGCTGACTGATAGCTAGTTCTAGAAGGAGGGTCCCCAGTGAAAGGCATCAGCCTGGAAGTAGAAGAGGGAGGCAGACCTTTTCTCCTGAGGATCTGAAAGGGATGCAAAGAGTTAAGGAGAGGCTGCTTTCAACCGAAGAGAAAACCAGCTCCCTGTAGAAAGTGGGCAGGAGCCCTCTTCATTGTTTCACCTGGCTATAGGATTTCTTTGAGAGACAAGGAATGGGCTCTAAAACTCTGGTAACTGGATCACTGGGAAGGGAGGTTTTTTAAAAACCAGCTGACAGCTGAATAATAGGAATTACCAGGCAGGCTGCCCTGGGGTTACTGAGGTTTGTAACTCAACCTCCAAGGAGGGGTTAGATTGGAAACTGATTTATGGGTGAGGTGGGGGTCTTAGTGAGGGAGCTTATGGTGCTTGACCCCCTTGCCTCCTAACTCCCTGCAGGAGAGATCATGTATGTAAGAAAGACCATACTGTTGAAAGACTTGGGGTCCTTCTCTTGTTGAATTTGCTCTAACAGTGAATTGATCTCTCCATGCATCATTCCATTCGTTTATAAAGGAATAGTCCCTCTTTTCTGAGTTGCATAGTTGTGTGTGTGTGAGTGTGTGTGTGTGTGAGTGTG